CCCGTAAAACAAAACGAGAATTAATGGGCACACCAGCCCAGGGACAAGGACGAGAAGGCAAGAGGTGACAGGAAAGCTGGTAATGGAGAACCCAAGGTCAAGAAGGAGAGAGTGTTGACATGTCACTGGGTTGGCAACCAGTGGCACAAAACAATACGTGCATTAATTGTTTAATGAGAAGCTAATTTGCTCTGTAAACCTTCATCTAAAGCAAAAGAAAAAAAGAAAAAAATATATCTATATGAGGCCAAATGGTCAACACTTACTCTAAATCAAAGACAAGAAGGCAAGGGAGCAGGGAAACTAGATTACTGGAAACAGAACAACTAGAATGGAAATATTGAGAAAGTTGGCGCACTGTAAAATGTAACCAATGTCACTGAACGAATTATGTAGAAATTGTTAAAGGAGAACCCGATTTTCTATGTAAACTTTCATTGAAAACACAATAAAATATTATTATTTAAAAAAAAAAAAAACCTATGGAGCAGTTGTACTCTGCACACATGGGGTCGTCATGAGTCAGAATTGACTTGACAGCAACTAACAACTACAAAAACTCAAGGGCCCCTAAGCAAAACATCCCCCCTTTCCCCTTCCCTCTCACCTCTGGTAACCACTCACTAACAATCTCTGGTTTCTATGTATTTGTTTATTTCATATAAGTGAGACCATACAGTATTTATCCTTTTGCAACTGACTTGTTTCGCTCAGCATAATGTTTTTCTAGATTCATCCGTGTTGCGGCTAAATCTATTTTTAACGTTTGACTGCTGACAAGTTTTAAACCTCACCCCTCCTTCTTGCCCTTCTGCCCCACATCTGGGCAAACTGATAAGAAAGCCTGTGGGGTCTGGGAACAGGTTTGTGGGGAAAGAGGGAGAGGTCATTTTGAGTTCTCCAGGAGGCTGTTGGATGCACAGGGCTGAAGCTTGGGAGAGAGACCTGGGCTGGAGAGAGAGACTTAAGAGCCACCCTACCATGAAGGACAGGTGAAACAGTCAAGGTGTATGAACTCACTGAAGGGAGAACTTGTGGAGTGAGGAGAATGGAGGGTGGGATGAGGCCCTGGGAACACCCTTGTTTTTAAGAGATTGGTGGAGGAAAAAAGGCCTATTCATGAAGGAGCGCCAGGGAAGTAGGAGGAAAACAAGAAAAGCATGGTGCCCTGGAAGCCGGAAGAGGCATGTGTTTCAAGAAGGAAGGAGCAGCCGGCCATGTCAAAGGCAGCTGAGAAGTTGAGTAACATGAAGACAGAGAGGTGACTATTGGATTGGACAACGTGGAAGTCTCTGGAGACCAAAACATGACCATGGCTGTGGAGTGCAGGCAACAGAAACCCCACAAGAGTGGACTGGAGAAAGGAGGGCGAGGAGTGGAGGCAGCAAGGAGATCTCCACGGAGAAGTTATGCTGGGGAGGTCTGCAGGGAAACAGGGCGGTAACTGGAGGGGGAAGTGGGACTGCTTCTAATTAAACTCTGGTCCCAGCATGATTCAGAGGCATCTCAGGAAATGTTTGTTGAGTGAATGAATAAGTGAATGAATGAAAGAGGCAGACAAATAGAGAAATAGAATAAGAGAGATGAAAAACAGAGAAAAAGGGGGCAAAGAACAACAGTTGTAACTGATATTTTGTCACATCTAGACAAAAAGATTCTGTCATCTAAGCCCACTCTGAAAGTTCCTTCTTTACAAAGGAATCAACTGGTAAGTGTAATTTTGGTAGCATGTACACTTGACATACCTGATATTCCCATCCATCTTTTGTTGCTTTTTTTGATGTTCCTGAGAGGGAGCAGTGTGCAAACATTAGTCTCTCCCCAGCCCCATTTTTTCAAGTGGGAAAACTGAGGTCAGGAGAAGAGACTGAGTCATGCGATGAGGAGGTATCAGCCCACATCTGTAGGATTCCAAAAACAATCTTCTTTTTCCTTTAAATATTTTATTGTGTTTTGGGGGAACTTTTACACAGCAAATCAGGTTCCCACTTAACAGTTCTATACATACTGTTCAGTGACATTTGTTACATTTTCCACATTGTGTCAATATTCTCATTATTTCCATTCTAGTTGTTCTGTTTCCATTAATCTAGCTTTCCTGCCTGCCCACCCCCGACATTTTCGTCTTTGCTTTAGGATGAATGTTGACCTTTTGGTCTCATACAGATAATTATTTTTTTTAAAGGAGCACAGTCCTCAAGGGTGATGTTGTTTATTTTATGAGCTAATCTGATATTTAGGTGAAAGAGGTGACCTCCAGGAGTGGATTCAGTTCATAGTTTAAAGGATACCTTAGGGCAATAGTCTTGGGGGTTCCTCTAGTCTCTACTGGTCTAGAAAGTCTAGCCTTTTTTAAAATTTGAGCTAAATTTGAGTTTTTTCTTTTTTAATTTGAGCTTTGTTCTACAAATCTCTCCCATTCTATCCAGGATCAACTATTGTTTCCTTGATCAGAATGGTCACTAGTGGTAGCCGGACACCATCTAGTTCTTCTGTTCTCAGGATAGATGAGGCTGTGGCCTATGTAGTCCAAAAACCATCTTCTTTTTTTGAACCTGTAGGAGGATTCATACCTTCATCTATTCACATGGGAACATATTAATTCATTTAGTCATTTGTGTATTCATTCATATGTTTGGGTAATGATTAAGAATGTAGTTTCTGGAGCCAGCCTGCCTGATTCAAATCATGGTTCTGCTACTTACCAGATGTGTGACTTTGGGCAAGTGACTTCATCTTACTGTGCCTCAGTTTCCACATTTATGAGGGCCCCCATGCTCTGTGCCTTCACCACATAGGTTGGGGTGGCTGGGTTCTTTCTAGGGAATGGACTTCATAATGAGCTTATTATGATCCCCAACAGTAAAGACTTGAGGCGTTGAGACTTGTGAACTCTGGGAGGCTGCCTGGGGGAGGTGACAAGTGATGTTCAAAGCCCCAAGATTTCTCTGAAAGTAGGGTCTGTGTGCCCACAAGCCAATTCTTCCCTTCTTTGGGCTTCACTGCAGCTGCAGAAAGAGGGAGTTGGCTTTATCCAGAAGCCACAAATTGGCAGTCTGTGGGTCAAAAGAGAGCCACTACTGGGGACCATGGTCTCAGGGAACATCTAGCTCAATTGGCATAACATAGTTTATAAAGAAAATGCTCTACATTCTACTTTGGTGAGTAGCCTCCACCAGACTGAGGCCAGCACAACTAGATGGTGCCTGGCTACCATCACCAACTGCTCTGACAGGGATCACAATAGAGGGTCCCGGACAGAGCTAGAGAAAAATGTAGAACAAAATTTTAATTCACACACACACACAAAAAAAAAAAAAACAGACTTACTGCTTACTGGTCTGACAGAGGCTGGAGAAACCCTCAGAGTATGGCCCCCGGGCACCCTTACAGCTCAGGAATGAAGTCACTCCTGAGGTTCACCCTTCAGCCAAACATTAGGTAGGCCCATAAAACAAAGTGAGACTAAGTGGGTACGTAAGCCCAGGGGCAAGGGCAAGAAGGCAGGAGGGGACAGGAAAGCTGGTAATGGGGAAACCAAGGTCAAAAAGGGGAGAATGTTAATATGTTATGTGGTTGGCATGCAATGTCACAAAACAGTATGTGTATTAATTGTTTAATGATAAACTAGTTTGCTCTGTAAACCTGCATCTAAAGTACAATTAAAAAAAAAAAGGTCTATCAGAGAATTTCAAAAAAAAAAGAAAAAGAGAGAGAGAGAGAAAGACAGAGAGAGCCACTAAGCAAGGTCCCTGGGTGGCACAAATAGTTTGTGCTCAACTGCTAACCTAAAGGTTGGTGGTTCAAATCCACCCAGCGGCACTGAGGAAGAAACCCTGGTGATCTGCTTTGGTAAAGATCACAGCCAAGAAAACGCTATGGAGCAATTCTATCCCATAACACATGGAGTCACCATGAGTCAGAATGGACTCCCTGGCAATGAGTTTAGTTTAGTTTTTGGTGCTTCTTGAAACAGGGAAGGCAAGGGTCCTCCGAGATAGTCAAGAGTTGACTGTGCATTTCAGAAATTCAATTAGAATCAGAATTCCATAGAACCCAGTTTGGAAATCTCTCTCTCCATGATTGCCTTGTTTTAAAGTCTTCCCTCTCTCTCTCTCTCTCTGTCTCTGCTCTTGGACTTCCTGCCTGTCACTTCAAATCTTGAGTCCTCTCCTGCTTTCTCAGCGTCAGTGTCTTCCTGCCTCTCCCCTGACCTCTGTGGGATCAGGCCCCAGAGGTCACTGCTCCCCACCCTTCCTGAGCCCTCATCACAGGAGTTGGGATTAGAACCCAGCTCCTCTGTCATCTTGAGTCATCATCAGTCCAGAGGTGCTGGCTGTTTGGAGAGGAGGAAGAGGAAAGGGGGGCTGAGACTCCTCTCCTGAGCCACCCTGGCCCCCTTCATCCCTCCCTGCCCCCTCCAATGAGCTGTAAAGCTCCATTAAGTGTCATTAGGCTGAGAAGAGCTTCTACAGGTTTAGAGGAGACCCGCCCCATCCTTGCCTTTCTTGTCCTCTTCCCTCAACCAGGAAATTGGATGAGCTGGAACAAAGAGAATTAAAACCTTGGCCAGCATCTGGTTTGGGACAGGCAGACAGAAGGAAGAGGACAGGTGGGGAAGCATGACAGGTGGCTGAGGAGCCAGGTGGACAGTGGGGGAGTTGACGGACCAGGTGTCCGGCAGATGAAAGGACAAGCAGGTAGGTATATAGAGAGATAGCAGACAGGCTGACAGACAGACAGCTGGATAGACAGGCAGAAACTGTGATACCCACATAAGGGATCCAGCAGACAAAGAGATAAGGTGAGAAGGGGAGAGACAGACACCAAGGAGATGACACACAGAGGTGGAGGATGGGGAGGGGAGGGGCTTCCCTGCAAAGGAAGAAGACAGGGAAGAGGTGGGAGGGACAGGGAAAGAAGGGGAGGTGGGTTGACAGGGAAACAGCCATCTTCTGAGAACCCTCACCTTTTCTCCAGATCTTGGTGGTGGCCCCACCATGGGGTCCAGCATCTTTTTGCTTGTATGTCTTATCGGTGAGTTCCCCCAGGGGGCCGGGGCTTGGTCCCACATGAAGACCCCCATCTCCCCATCTCAGCTCTGGATCCCAGCCTTGTATTGAAGAGGGGAGGGGAGTCACTATGCCTCCAGCCTTGGGGTCATGCTTATCTCTGTCTCCTTATATCTTTTGATCCATCTCTTCTATCTCTGTCACTGTTTCTGTTCTCTCTCTGAATTCCTGTCTCTATTTCCCTCCAGTCTTTAAGCATCTCTCTCTCTCTGTTTCCCTCTTTCTCTTCCTTTCTGTGTCTCTCTTGGTGTTTTGCTATGTCGTTTCTATACATCACTGGGTTTTTATGTCACCCTGCCTGTGTCTTTCTTTTGTCGATTTTTCTCTCTGCCTATCTTTCTCTTCCTTGTTTCTCTCTCTTCCCTGTTTTTCTCCTTCTGTTGCCTGTTTCTCTCCCTGTCTCTGTCTTTCTCTTACCTCTCTGTCTGTCTTTCTGTGTCTCTTTTCCTATCTCAGATCCATAATCTTTATGTCTCTGACTCCATCTTTCTGGCCTGTCCCCAGGGCCGAGTGTCTCCCTAATGCACAGCCTTGGCAGGTGGAGTTGTTTGAGGGCACCACCCTGCGCTGTGGGGATGTCCTCATTGACCGCAGGTGGGTTCTTACAGCTGCTCACGGTAGTGGCAGGTAAGCCTAGTCTGAGTCCATTTCTGAGGTGGGTGAGGAGAGAGTCTTTGGAGGGGATTGCTGGGATCAAAGTCTCAAGGGAGGGGGATGCTGAAGGGTAAGAAGCTGGCCCTGAAGCAAGAAAGTGTGAGGTTAGACAAGAAGTAGAACCTCCTCAACAGTGGCCTGGGGTGCAGTAGGATGAAATGGAGGGGAGGGGAAAGGAGGGCCTTGGGATCTTCCTACCCATCCTCTCCCATTCCCTCACATCTCACTTCTTTACTAAATGACATCAGTCACCTGACCCAGTCTGGGCCGTGGACCCATATCTGACTCAAACTCTTTCTGCAGCCTCAGAGACTAAGTCTGGTACCTCTCTGGGCCTCAGTGGTCCCATCAGTTAAATGAAGGGCTTGGGCTTTCCAGGTCTGTGCTCTGGATTTTTTGTGAAAGGGGAGCTCAGATACAAGGAAACAGAGACTCAGGGACAGGACAAAGACAGCCCATTCATTATTCACCCGTTCATTCATTCAACAGTGTTTACAGCAATTTCTCTGCGTCAGGCAGTCTTCTAGGTTCTGGGAATCCAGCAGGGAACAAGGCAGACAGATATCCCTACCTTCGTGGGACTCATAGTTAATAGAATCAGAGAGAGACACAGGTGCACTGCATGGGGATCAAGACACAGGAGGAGAAACGGGGTGAACAACCAAAATGGAAAGGCAGAGATAGAGACTGAGAGATTGAAAGAGAGAGACTTAGAGAGAGTGAGGAAGAGGACAGTGATTGAGATGCAGGGGAGCAGAGAGAGGCAGGAGGGTCTAGGAGTGTGGCATGCGGGTGTGGGTGCCTGGGTGCCTGCCCACCTGCTACCTGCTGAGCTGCCACCACCTCCCAGCAGGTATTGGGTGCGCCTGGGGGAGCACAGCCTCAGCCAGTTGGACTGGATGGAGCAGATTCGGCGCAGCGGCTTCTCCGTGACCTACCCCAGCTACCAGGGAGCCGTGCAGAACCATGACCACAACCTTCGACTTCTGCAGCTGGGCATGCCTGTCCGCTTGACCCGTGGTGTCCAGACCCTGCCCCTGCCCAGCACCTGTGCAACCGCTGATACCAAGTGCCACATTTCGGGCTGGGGCACCACCAACTGACCATGGAGTAAGGAAGTCCTGGGGTCAGAGGTCAGGGTGCATAAGCATTTGGGGTGTAAGGTGAGAGGTCAAGAGTCATGACATCTCAAAGGAAGGGTAGTTAAAGGGTCAGGGTGTGGGGCGACCATCAGGGATCTTGGATTGGGGTCAGAGATCATGGTGGGTCAGGTGCGTCTTGAGAGTCAAAGTGGTTAAGGGATTCGGTATGGAGTCAGAAGTCGGGGTCATGGATGTGGTAAGGTCAGAGTGATGAGGAAAAAAACCCCATTGCCATCGAGTCGATTCCAACTCATAGCAACCCTATAGGACAGAGTAGAACGCCCCCATAGGGTTTCCAAGGAGCAGCTGGTAGATTCAAACTGCTGACCTTTTGGTTAGCAGCCAAACTCTTAACCACTGAGCCACCAGGGCTCCAGAGTGATGTCAGGGGTCATCAAACTGTGGCAAATATATATACATATATGTGTATATATATATATGTATATATATATATATATATATTTACACACACACATATAATCTAGGGAAGTCAAGAAGGGGTCACGGTTCATGGCTTCTGGTGTTAGAGGTCATTGTAGAGCTGTGCTCATGGGATCCAGATGTTGCACTGCTATCTGGTCACAATCTGAGGATGGCAATTGAGATTCAATCAAGGATCACATGTCTGGGGTTGGAAGTCATGAGGTTTAGGGTCTGGGACCAGAGGTTAGGGGTCATGGAGTCTGGGGTCAAATAAACTAGGATCAGAGGTCACTGTGGAGCTAGGGTCAATGAAGTAAAGGCTTAGAGGATACAGAGCTGAGGTTAGAGGTGAAGGCAAGGAACATGGGGTCAGCGGAGAGAGCAGACAGGTGGTCAAGCTGGGCTGGAAGGAAAATGAGATTGAAGGTCAAAGGTCAGTATCTGGGATTGGATAAGAAGGTCAGTCTGGATTCATAGTATCTGAGGTTGGAAGACAAGAGAGTCTTGAGTCATGGCATTTAAAATTGTAGCTCAAAGGTCAGGGGGACTGAGCCAGTGAGCTGGGATCAAGGGTCACCATGAAATGGAGTCATAAATATGAAATTTAGAGGTTTTAGGTTTGTGGGCTAGAGATTGCCAAGGGGCTAGCGGTATCGGCTTGGAGCTGGTGGTCAGGAGTTAGGCTTCCTTGTGAGCAGGGATGTGGCCCCAACATGTAGAGCTTTGGGAGACCCTCCAGCACCCACCTTCCACCCCAGGCCTATTCCCAGACCGGCTCCAGTGCCTCAACCCCTCCATTGTCTCAGATGCTGCCTGCCGTGCAGTGTTCCCTGGGAGAATCACGGACAACATGGTGTGTGTAGGTGGCTTGCCCGGGGAGGACGCCTGCCAGGTGTGTGAATGCAGGGACTCCAGGTGTCCCAAGAGAGGAAGTGAGGGACAGAGACGGGAAGGGGAGAGACTGAAGGGAGGAGGGAAAGGGAGGGAGAGCTGGAGGGAGGATAGACAGGAGAAGGAGCCGGAGAAAGGGAATGAATGGAGGGTGGGGGACAGATGGGGTCAGAAGGCAGGAGAGAGCCAGAATAAGGGAGGGAGAGAAGCAGAAAACAGGAGATAGAACCAGGGAATAGCGGAGAGAGAGAGGCAGGGGGTGGACAGAGAGAGCAGAGGGAGGGAGGAGACAGAAGAGGAAAGCTGGGGACCGTCACAAAGAGAGGGAGAGGAAGAGATAAAGAGAGGATGGGAGGGCAAAGGGTTAGCCAGGACTTGGAACTCAAGCTGGAAACCAGTTGTCTTAGTCTCTGAGTCTTCCCTATACCATCCTCCGGTTGGTGGCTAGATCAGGTGAGTGAGAAAAGCAGGAAAGGGAGTCGATGGATCATCTCACTCTCTAATTCTGCATTCTTGCCCTCTTGGGTCCTCCAGAGGAGGCTGCCCCATCTCACTGGCAAGGACCCTAGCCGTTGTCCATGAGAGAGCCCTCTACCCGTTAAGGTGTCCCACCCTCCTCCCATAGGATTGGTCATTGAATATAATATTCTCTTCACTCACCGGCTAGGGCCCTAGCCATTATCCTTCAGGGAAACTTCTGCCCTTCCCTGGGATTGATCATCAATGATAGTGTTCTCTTCCCTTATTGCCAGGGCTCTAGCCATTGTCCTTATAATAATCCTCTGCCCTTTATAGAGTCCCACCCTCCCTGGGATTGGTCACTGGAGATATTATTCTCTTCTCTCATTGGGCAAGGCCCCAGCCATTGTCCTTAAGACAATCTTCTACCCATTATGGAGACCCCCACCACCCCTCTTTCCTTGGGGTTGGCCCTTACAGATGGTGCTTTCTTCTCCATTGGTCAGGATTCCTGCCATTGTCCTCAGGGGACCTGTCTGTGTATTTTTCCCCAATGACCATGCTTGGAGTCACTCTCCTCAAAACCAGGAATAGGTTGGTGGGTTGGAGAGAGGAAAGTGGGAACAGGATTTCTCTCTGATTCAGGAAGTGCTTTTTCTCCTTCTTCCCTCCAGGGTGACTCTGGAGGCCCGCTGGTATGCGGAGGAGTCCTTCAGGGTCTGGTGTCCTGGGGGTCCGTGAGGACTTGTGGGCAAAAAGGCATTCCAGGAGCCTACACCAAGATTTACAGATATGTGGACTGGATTCAGAACATCATAAGGAACAACTGACCTTCTCCTTCCACCTCCAGCCTCAGCTTGGTGGCAACTCTGACTCTCAGAACACCAGCACCTCCTCCATCATCATCCACAGCTTCTACTCTTCTCAGTCTGGGAGGCTTCTTCCAGGAACTCCAACTTTAGTCACCCCTTCTAAGACCCATGGTTGGGAGGAGGGTGACTATCTGGAATAAATATAACTGGAAGAAGGGTTATGTCTATTTGATATGCCCATGCTGGTTGAAACTGAATGGAGAGTTCATGGGTTTCCCTACCTACAAGTGTAAAAATAGAGATCAAAGAAGGTGAGAGTTTTTTCCCAAGGTCACACAGGAATGGAATAGAAAAAGTTACTTATGACAATAAAATCAAGAACCATTTTTTCTCCAGTCAGCTTGATGAGAACAGGGCCCAGAGTTAAGTTTTTCAAGGGACCATGAAGGACCTAAAGAGAAAAAAAAAAAGTATTGGCTCCTAAACAACAAAAGGAATACTGCAAAATAAAAATTTATGACTGTTCAATTAAATGTCTATAAAACGCAATCTTCTTTCAGCTTGCCAACTGCAATTCGACTCGTCTGTAGTTGAACACACATTATATTTAATGTGGGATGTGAGTTTACTTTAATATGTCTGCAATGACGAAGCATGGAGCGCAGCTTTGCAAAGCAAGAGAGATCCTGTTTACCTCCTGGATTCTGTCTCTACCATGTCTTCCAGGACAAAGACGGGGGAATGTGGAAAGAGACTATCTTCTCCCCAAATCCATCAAAGTGGAATTAGAGATGGAAAAGAGTGAGGAATGATCATACAGTGATAGAAACGTTTGCTGAGTACCTACTGTGCTTGGTTCTTTCCATGCAGAATCTTCTAGAGTCCTCATCTCAACCCCATGAGGCAGGGTTGCCACTCCCATTTCATACCCATTTCACAAGTGAAGAAACTGAGCTTCACAGAGGTGGAGTTCCTTGTCCCATGTCACACTGGTAGGAAGAGCTAAGGCTGGCTGCTATTAGCACCTAGGCTTACCCTGCCTTGTTCCACATCTGGTAGAGGAGAGAGGAGAGGAAGACAGAGAGGGGGAGAGCTGATAACAAAGAAGCTGGGAAGAGTGGGGATCAGCACATTTGCAGATGAGGAAATTAAGGGGGGAAGTCATTCCGCTGAGGTCACACAGACAGTAAGTGCTACAAAGCAGCTGGATTAGGACCCTGGGGTATCTGGAGGCCTGGGAGGCTGGGAGAGGAAAGCAAAAGGAAGGGTCAGCTGAGATGCACAGCCCCAGAGCAGCCTTGAAGGGTTGGGGAGTCTGCAAAGGCTTAATTTCCTTTTCCTGGGCCATGACTCCCACAGGCCCCGACCTGCCTCCCCCATCCTCCTGTCCTGCCCCTTCTCCTGGCCCCAGCCCCACCTCTGTGCTGCCCCAGTTATTCCCCCTCCTTGCAATGGTGAACGGGAGAAGCCCAGAGGAGGCCAGGGGTGAACCTGGGCTGGTGCGGGTGGGGATGGAGGGACAGGGAGAGGAGCAGAGACAGAAAGACATGAAAATTAGGTGGAAAGAGAAAAAGAGACAGAGAGACAGAGGGGGAAAAGAGTAGAAGAGAGTCATAAAAAAGACAAAGACGGAGCAAGAAAGATACAAAGAATCAGAGAAAGACACGCAGAAAGACAGAAAAACAGAAAGGGACAAAGGTGCAGGGACACATAAGAGACAGAATTAGAGACAGAAATACAGACAGGAAGAGAAAAATGACAGACACACATACACAGAGATAGAATTAGAGAATGACAGACATAAGGAGAGACAGAGAGGTGCAGACTGAGAGAGATGAGGAAGGAAGGGAAGGACACAGACTGACAGATGGACGGACAGAGACACGAAGAAAGCGAGAAAAGCAGAGAACAGAGGGGCTTGGGGAGGTGACAGTGGTGGCAGGTAGCACCTCTGAAGCCCTGGGCCAGCCTGGGGAGGGCCCCCTCACACACCCCGCCTCCAGGGTGATAAGGCAGGGCTAGGAGGCCCCTTCATCCTGGGCCCGCCCGGGGCTGCCCCCGCCCCTGCCTGTCTGCTGGCCTGTGCCTCCTGTTCCGACCCAGCCTGCCTCCGCCACCACCGTCGCCGGGCCCCCAGAGCCCCAGCCCCAGAGTCGTGAGTCCGGGAGAGAAGGCAAGGGAAACCCTCCCCCCAGCACACCTCTCTCCAGGTGCCTGCCCTGACCAACTGTGCCATGCCTCTGTCTCCACGCCCATTCTTCCCTCTGCTTCCGACCTTCTCGGCTTGGGTGATGAATCTTTGCCTCTGTCTGTGTCTCTCACCCCCACCAATATGCTCCAACCTCAATAACCTCTGACCCAGCTTTGGTTGCTGCTGAGCTCAGCCCTCCACCCCCACCCCCGCTGGCCAGGGCAGCTGAGGGCCCTGCCCCTGACCACCCTTGCCCAGCTCTGTCAGCCATGCCTCAGAGGAAAAGGGGTTCAGCAAGGTGGGGGCCAGGACTGTTGTCCTAGGGTGAGCCCCTACTCCACCCTGGGCAGACCTCAATCACCCTGTTGTTGGGACAAGAAAAATGGGATGGTTACCAAATGGAGCCTGGTCCACTTATTCCTCCCACCCCAAACCCTGAGCCAGGTCTCAGGTGGGCAAGAAGGAAATCATTCGCCAAAATGTGCCTCAGACAGGCGTTCAGTGGCTGACTTAAAACAGGGCCAGCCCATCCCTGCCCAAATGGAACCTCTCCCAACAGCTTCCACATCCTCCTTGGGATACTGGAAGCTTCTAGCTAAGATCAGGCCCCTTCCAAGGCCACCCTCGGTACCAGATTTATTTGAAGCGTTTGAAGGTTGGAGTGCTGTGAGAATCGGGACTTCCCAAGCCCTATGGTTTCTCCCTGGGGGAAGCAGGGAGCTAGAGCAGGTGAGGGAGAGAGGAGAGGGCATGAACCCCAATCTCCTAGTCAAGTGATTTTGTCCCTGTGTCCCTCCTTGTTTCCAGAAGAACCTGGGGCCTGCCCTTCCCCGCTCTGGGCCGTGATGATTCTGCGATTAATCATGCTTGCTCTGGTGACAGGTACCTTGAGGGATTGGGAAGGGCAGGGACCTCCCTCTCGAATCTCTAGGATCCCCCAACCCTCTATGCCTGGACATTAACAGGGCTGATGCTCAAAATATAGAACAACACATAGGGCGTCTGAACAGAGAGAGCCATGATGAGATTCTGGATATGTCCCATGCTGTACGAGGCATAATCCCTTTAGATGCTAGAATGAGGAGAGGTCAAGGAGATCCTGGAGGAGAGGCCAGGGCAGCTGGATTGGGATAGGGGACACTTGCGTAGAGCTCAGGGCAGTGGCTACTGACCAACCAGTTTGGATCTATGTATTTCGATCATTTAATGCCTGATCTGTCTGTATAGTGCATTACAGCAGGGCACTGGGTTGGGGCCCAGACCACCCACTTTCTCTCTGTCCTCACCAACCCCATTTCTTGTAGTTTTCCCATCCTACCTCCTCTCATGCCTGAGTCCCCTCTTTTACCCCTACCCCTCCAGGGCATGTAGGGGGAGAGACCAGGATCATCAAGGGGTACGAATGCACTCCTCATTCCCAGCCCTGGCAGGTGGCACTGTTCCAGAAGACACGGCTGCTTTGTAGGGCAACCCTCATCGCTCCCAAATGGCTCCTGACAGCAGCCCACTGCCGCAAGCCGTGGGTGCGGGGGCTGGAGTGGGGTTGGGAGGGGGCCGAAGATGGAGAGATGGATGGAGATGGGTTTGGGGATAGAGAAGATGTGATGGGGGTGTGGGGAAGCCAGGGTGAAAGATGTGGGTGAAAGATGGGGATGGGTAAGCATTAACATTGATGGTAGGGCTAGAGTTGGGATTGAAGATGGAGGGAGGGATGATTATGGAACTGGAATGGGGTTGGGCACAGAGTTGGGGATATGTCTTGAATGGGGGCTTTAGTGGGAGATGGGAATGAGGTTGGAAGTGGAGCTATGTTATTTCATTCTCACAGATGTCATTCATCTCTCCCTCTGTGCCTCCCCCCATCTCATGTCTCTCCTAACCTTTTCATCTCTGACTGTCCTCTCTTCCACCTCAGCCACTGCGTAGTACACCTGGGGGAGCACAACCTCCAGCAACAGGATGGCTGTGAGCAGACTCGAACAGCCACTGAGTCCTTCCTCCACCCAGAGTTCAACAACAGCCTCCCCAACAAAGACCACCGCAATGACATCATGTTGGTGAAAATAGCGGCACCAGCTTTCATCACCCGGGCCGTGCGACCCATCACCCTGTCATCACACTGTGTCACTGCTGGCACTCGCTGCCTCATTTCTGGCTGGGGCACCACTTCCAGCCCCCAGTGTAGGGGCTCCAAAAGGGAACATGGGGGAGTCATGACTGGGAGGATTCAGGGAGCTAGAGGAATCTTTAAAAATGAGAGTCATAGTGACATAAGAAGAGATTACGTGGGGGTGTCATTGGTGGGATAAGTTGAAAGGAAGAGTGTTAAAGGAAGGGCTGGGGAGGGTGGAGACAAAAGTTTGGGCCTTGGAGTCAGACAGATATAATGTGCAATCCCAGCTCCACGCTTGCTAGTTGCAGAACCTTAGGCAAGTGACTTCACCTCTCTGAACCTTGATTTTCTTCTCTATAAAATGAGAATAATCACACCTACCTCCCAGGGTTGGATCAGAGATAATGTAGAGCATCTGGCATAAAGAATTTACTTGATAGCATTATTATTGCTATTGCTACAAGCAGAGAGATGAGTTGGCTGCAAGAAAGAAGGAAAGTCTTTCCAGATATTGGGTTCAGAGTAACCACTACAGGGAGAAGGGGTGCCCGCTTCCCATACTTTCTCATGCTGTTTCCACAGTGCACCTGCCCCACAGCTTGCAATGTGCCAACGTCACCATCACTGAGCACAAGGAGTGTGAGGATGCCTATCCCGGCAGTATCACAGACACCATGGTGTGTGCCAGCGTTCAAGAAGCGGGCAAGGATTCCTGCCAGGTCAGAGGGCAGGGCCTAGGTCTCCAACCACATTCCTATCTCCATCTCCAATCTCACTTAAGTCTTCATGTCCCTCCACAATCTCATCCTCAACTCCAACCCCACCTCCCCCTGCAACCCCAAATCCATCTCCATCCCCAATTCCCATATCCAACTTCAAAACAACCTTTACCCCAGCCCCAGTTCCAACCCCATTCCCACCCGTTTCCAACCCAAACATTCCCAAACTCATTTTAGGCTCTAATCCCACCCCTAATCCCATCCCTAACCCCAACCTCCTACCCAATCCTATCGCTAATCCCATTGCCAACTCAATCTTCAATCTCAACCCCACCCCCAACACCATCTCATTTACTCCCTACCACCACGCCCAACTCTCCCCTTTGCTTTGACTGGCCTTCTCTCTCCCCATTCCCAGGGTGACTCTGGGGGACCTCTGGTCTGTAACAGCTCTCTGCAAGGCATTATCTCCTGGGGCCAGGATCCATGTGCCATCACCAAAAAGCCCGGTGTCTACACAAAGGTCTGCAAATATGTGGACTGGTTCCAGAAGGCCATGAGAAGCAATTAACCAGGACCAGCTTGCCACAGTCCAACAACCTGAATCCTTACTTGGTGATCTGGTTCCCATTCATTCTGATATAATTAAACACCAAACAGGGACCTTTTATGTACTTTCTTTGGGTCTCCTTGACTGCAGATGCAGATGACGTTGGAATCATCCTGGGGTTTGGAATTAGTAAGACCTGGGTTCATATCTTGGCTCGTACTAACTTGTGACTGTGGAAATGATAATAGCTGTTTTGTTTTGTTCACTGTTGTATCCCAAGTCTCTAAGATAGTTCCTCGCACACACCAACGTTTCAGTAAACACTTGCTGAATGAATGAATTTATTGAGTGCTTATTCTTAATACCCTTATTAGTGCCAGACCCTGGTCTAAAAGCTTTTAGATGTATCAACTAATTTAATCCTTACAAAACTCTATAAGGTTGGTACTTTGAGACACAGACAGGAAGTCACTTGCTCATGGTCACACAAACCGTAAGTAGAAGAGCAAGGATCTGAAGCTAAGTGGCCTCTTAACTAGAAAAGCTTAGTTTCCTTATCTGTAAAATTGTGCATGCATGCATGCAAAGCTATGTTAGCACAGGGCCTGCACATAGTAAGACCTAGCAAAAGAGCACTATCATTATTTTTTCCAACCTCCTCGATGGGTAGTAGCTCATCTAGATCTGTGCTGGCCAGTGGGGTAGCTCCTAGCCACATGGGACTGGTTAAACTAAAATTAAATAAAATCAGAAATGCAACTCCTCACTTGCACTGGCCACTTTTCAGGTGCTCGCTAGCCACAGGTGGCTGATGGCTACCATTTTAGATAGCACGTATAGAACATTTTCGTCACTGCAGAAAGTTCTATTGGACAGCGCTGTGCTATACAAATTCTGGAGTTAATTCTCAAAGGAGACGATGTCTGACACCTACTCCAGAACTCGGGGTCTTTTCCAACGTTCGGCTCACCTTGTAGGGGGAGGTAGCTGGCATGAGGAATGAGAGCCCAGAGCTAAAATTGAGGCTTCCTGGTTGTTAGGATGATTTACTGTGTGACCCTTCTTGTGAGTCACCCTCCCCCCACCCCCTGGGGCCTCCATTTCTCTCCTGAAATGAGGGAGTTGGCCAAGGCAATGCTGATGCTCTTCTGTGATTCATGGGCCTGTGTATCATCCAGGGACACACAGGTGACAGAGAGAATGTGAGATGGTCACACAAAGATGGAATGCAGAGCCTCAGTCCCTCAACCTCCATGGGGAATTGTCCCTGAGATACACACTGAGCCCACTGCTCCAGCTGTGGGTTGGGCTCATGCCAAAGAGACAAAGCCTCTCCATACGCTGGGTCTGCATCTCCTCTTTGTCTCTGTCTCCTTGTCTTTCTCTTTCCCTGTTTCTGTGTATTTTAGCCTTGCCTGGCCTTGGCTTGTCACAGTTTCCCTCTATTCCTGTTGTGTCCCTCTATCCCTGTCTCAGAGCCAGTCTCTATCTCTCCTGCTCTTTCCTTCAGTCTATTTCCACCTCTTTGCCTCCCCCTCAACAATCTGGCTTTTCTCGCTTGGTCATTTAAGGTATGCATTTCCCTGTTTATTTATTTTCCTGTCTCGATCACCTGTCTCAACATCATCTGGGGACCTGCTACTCACTCTCCCCACCTGGGAAAGTTTCTTGGAACGGAGGCATGGAGGAATCTCCAGGGAATTCAGCTGGAGAAGGGTGTTTTGGGCACAGCACAGGAAGAAGCCTGTATTACTGGGACCCTCCCAGGGCAGGAATCTGGGCCCTGGTTGAGTGCCAGCCCCACCCAAGGTATAATTAAGGAGAGGGAAAGGGAGGGGACGAGTCCCTGAGAGGTGGGTGGGAAGCTTCCGGGCTTTTAGGTGTTAAAAGGGAAGGCCGGACCAGCGGTCCCTGGGCAGAGGATCCAGCGGTGGCCCACACAACAGGGCAGACGAGCCTTTGGGTCCCCTCCCTCCCTCCCATCCGTGACCCCCAGGTGAGGTGGGATGCACCCCACCCGGGTTGGGGCGGATTGCGAGAAGATGGGGGTAGACCCTCGGGAAACGGGCAGGGGCCTTGCTTGAGCCTCAGTTTCCGAACCTTCGGGACTCGGGTTAGCGGCCCGAGCTGTGCAATTTAGGAAGAGGCTCCCACCAGCTCGGAGCCTGTGATCCCCACCCCACCTGTGAAAAGCAGACGAAGCCCCCGAGCACTGTGTGGTTGGCAAAGCTAGGGTAGCCGTTGCTCCGAGCACGCTCCCCTCCGGCGCAGGGGGGACGGGAGGACGCAAGGACACCACGCTGGCGCCGTTAGAATAATTGCGACCATTACCGCTGATCCGCCGGTATCACCCGTGCTCCCGCCCTTGCGGTTATCTGCTGGACCCGAGGCCACTGGTTAAAAGCTTCTCCCCCGCCACCTCGACCCCCCAGGCTGGGGTGATCTGAGCTGGGCGGGCACGCGTAATGGGGTGGGAGTCTCTGATGCGGGCCCCTGTCTTAACCAGCCCGCACTCCACCCCCCGCCTAGTTCCTGGACATGAGACCTCCGCACCTCCGCCTCTCCGCCGCCTCTGGCACCCCGGCCCTGATGAGGCTGCTGCTGCCATTGCTGATGGTGCAACTCTGGGGTAAGGCGGGGGACAACGGGCAGCGGAAGGCACCGGGGGCGGGAGGAGATCGGAGCGTGTGTGCTTTTATCACCAACCCCCGCGCACCTCACCTCCTCTTGGGGCTCCAAAACCCACCCAGCGACCTGGAGCAGGGTCCGCCCCCCAGGTCTGCTGAGCCCTCCTCGTCTAGCTCGGTCCCTGGGAGCCGGTCACTAATCCTGCCTCGCCCCTTTTTCTGCTCCACCACTATCCAGAATCCCCTTTTCGTCTCCCCGGGTTCTTTCTCCGCCTGTTACTCCCTCACTCCGCCCCATTCTATCCCCGCCCTTTCTCACCGCAGCATTCGGTCTCAGTCCCCTTCCTCACCGTTCCTAAGTTTATCCTATTAGTTGCCCTATCGCCTGTCTCCGTCCCTCTTTCCTTCCCGCTGAGTTATTCCCTGTCCCCATCTCCTTCCGCCTGGATTCTATCCCCTCCTCCTTCTAGTGCCACCGGGTTTTATCCCCATCATTTTCTCGTCTCTCCAAGTTCTCATCCCACCCCCTTCCATCCACACCCCTCCTCATCTCGCCAGGTTCTGGTCCCACTCACTTTTGCACCTATTCTATTCCACCCTCGGTCTCCCCGCTACTTGCTATCCTCGCCCTTTCTTGGCTCGCCTAATTCAGTCCCCGCCTCCTTCTCGCCCAGCAGCGTTCTGTCCCTGCCTCTGTCTCCGAGCACTGCGTCCTCTCCCCGCCCCTCTATACTCAGCTCCGTCGGGTCCCCGACCTCCTCTTTTCACGCGGTTCTTCTCCGCCCACTGCCATTAGGTTCCCGCGAGATGCCACAATTTCCCCTTATTGCTCGCAGGTTCTGATAGCGCCCCCCCCCGTAGTACCACCCCATGGCTCCGCCCTGACCCCAAACTCAGCCAGTGTCCTGACCTGCCCTGACTACTCTGACCCCCACCCCCCAAACTCTTTCTCCAGCTGCGAAGGCGACTCTGCTTCCTATAAACCACACCAGCACGGGCCCGGAGACTTTCAGCGCCCCGTGCGCAAGCGGCTCGCAGGCCTGGCAAGTCTCCCTCTTCAAAGGCCTCTCGTTCCACTGTGCGGGAGTCCTGGTGGACAAGAGCTGGGTGCTCACAGCCGCGCACTGCCAGAACAACAAGTAGGTGGAGCTACAGAGGGGCTGTGGAGGCAGGCCCCCGAGAGGGGACGGGAAGGGCTGGGACGCTTGCGGGTATGGCACTCTCCCAGCAAGATGTGGGGTCCAGTCATGGAGGACTTCCTGCAGTGGGCGAAGTGGGGTTATGGGGTGCCACGAGGGGGGCGGTGTGGTTCTTCTCCACGTTTCTGAGCTCATCTGTCACCCTTGTCCTGCTGATACTCCTTGGTTTCCATTTAGGTGTGGGTAGTTACATGATTTGGAATCCACTCGATGGCAATGAGTTATATGCAGGAGTCCTGGTGGTGCAGTGGTTAAGCGCTCCGCTGCGAACTGAAAGGTTGATGTTCAAACCCACCAGCCAGATCTACTATGTCACATAGGGTCACTATGAGTAGAAATTGACTCGACAGCACACAACAACAGTTCTATACAACCACCTGTCTGTCAGTTTGTTGCACTGTGGTGGCTTGTGTGTTGCTATAATGCTGGAAGCTATGCCACCGGTATTTCAAATACCAGCAGGGTCACCCATGGTGGGCAGGTTTCAGGAGATCTTCTAGACTATGACAAACTAGGAAGAAAGACCTGGCAATCTACTTCCAAAAATTAGCCAGTGAAAACCCTGTGGATCACAGTAGAACATTGTCCAGTATAGTGCTGGATGATGAGCCCCTTAGGTTGGAAGGCACTGAAAATACAGTGGCTGTGACAATGGACACCAACCATGATAAAGATGGCAATGTTTCATTCTGTCGTACATGGGTCGCCCTGAGTCAGAGCATACACTAACAAAGCTGTATGCAACAGAGAGAAGTCAGGGTCTGATGTGGTTGGGAGTTCAGAACTAGAAGAAAATGTTCACCGTAAGAGTCCCCAGTGACGGAGGAAGGGCTGGGCTTACCTAGAAGTCTCAACCTCCAGCCCTCAATTTCAGCAGAACCCGTGAGCCCAGACACCTGATCTCTTCTCTTCAGGTCCCAGGAGTCCCACATCCCTCCTCCCTCAGTCCTAGAATTCCTAGCCCCCAGCCCCCTCCCCCTTTAGGACTCAGGTGTCTGCCCTTACCCCACCACCATTTTCCTCCATCCCAGGGACTCAATCCCAGTCCCTACCAGGGTTGTCTACATGTGACTCTTTCCACCAGGCCACTGTGGGCTCGGATTGGGGATGACCACCTGCTGCTCCTCCAGGGCGAGCAGTTCCGCCGGACCACTCTCTCCATCATCCACCCCAAGTACCAGACAGGTTCAGGCCCCATCCTTCCAAGGCGCACAGATGAACATGACCTCATGTTGCTGAAGCTGGCCTGGCCTGCTGTGCCGGGGCCCCGAATCCAGACCTTGCGCCTGCCCAACCATTGTGCTCAGCCCGGAGACCAGTGTCAGGCTGCTGGCTGGGGTACCTCAACCAGCCGAAGAGGCAAGAGCTGGGGGCCCTGAAACCTGTCTCTGAGAAGAGGGGCCAGAGGGAAGAGGGAGGCCGGGACTTCTGGGTCTGAGAGACGAGGGTGCTGAGGGTCTGGACTCCTGGGTCTGAGGGAGGAGGGGGTTGGGGGTCTAGACTCCTGGGTGTGAGGAAGGAGGGGCTGGGGCCCTGGACTCCTCGGTTCAAGGAAGGAAGAGGCTGGGAAGCCTGAACTGAGGATCTGAGGAAGGAGAGGGCTGGGAGCCTGGATTCCTGGGTCTGAGGGAAGGAGCTAGCTGCCTGGGCTCCTGGATCTGAAGGAGGAGGGAGCTAGGGGCTTGGACTCTTGGGTGCCAGTATGGGAAGAGTCTAGATTCCTGGGTCTGGAATGAGTTGGGGCTGAGCCCAGGAATTACCTGGTTTTCTTTCCCTTCAGTGAAGTACAACAAGGGCCTGAGCTGCTCCACAGTCAGTGTCCTGAGCCGTAAGGAATGTGAGGTCTTCTACCCTGGCGTGGTCACCAACAACATGATGTGTGCTGGACTGCACAAGGGCAAAGACCCTTGCCAGGTAGGGACTAGCCAGGGAGGGTCTCTGAGTCATAGGAGGGAGGTTAGGGAGGCTATGGGAAAACAGAAGACTCCACCCCTGCCCCCAACCCCATAGCCATCCTCAGCCTCAACTGCATCCCCAACACTATCCCATACCCAACACTATCCCATGCCCTACCCCAAAGCCAACCCCATCCCCAACTCTACCTCCTTGGGTTCCATTTCCTTATCCTCAACCCCAGTCGTAACCCCCTCCCCAACCCCATCTCTATTATCCTCAATCCCATTCCCATCCTCAAACCATTCCCAAATCCCAACTCCAACCCTGTCTCCTCAACCCCATTCCCATCCTCAAACCATTCCCCAACCCCATCCCTATCTCCAGACCCATCTCCATCTCCTAACCTACCAGGAACCACAATCCCAACTCCACCTCATCTCCATTCTCATCCCCTAATCCAACTCCCATAGCCCTAAGTCCAACTCCTTCCCACCTATCCCATCCGCCAACCTCAAACCTAATTCCAGCTCCAACCCAACCTCATCTTTATCCCAACCCAACTACCACAACCCCAACCCCTTCACCATCACTGCCCCAACCCACAAAATGGCAGCTCTCAAATTGGTGTATTCATTTGATCTCTCCTTCCTCTTACCTCCAGAGTGACTCAGGTGGCCCCCTGGTTTGTGATAAGACCCTGCAGGGCATCCTTTCATGGGGCGTTTACCCCTGTGGCTCCGCCCAGCATCCGGCCGTCTACACCCAGATCTGCAAATACGTCCCCTGGATAGAGAAAACTATGCGTTCCAACTGATCCAGATGCCCAATGTCTTCTTTACCACCTACGCTCTTCCTCTGACTTCTGCCCTTCCTCACCTGTTAACATCTCTCTTGTTCCCTCGTTCCCTCTCCCACTCCCAATTCTCTGCCTGCACTGTGCAGAAAAGTGTGGGTAAAATTTTGTTCCAGAGAAGGGAGGAAGCTCGTCACCCAATCTCTAAGAAAAGTTGCCAAAGCTTAGTGGTTATGTGGAGTCACCCAACTTGATTTCCTCTACCACTCCCTGCTGTGTAACCTCGGGCAAGCCAAATGCCCTCTCTGAGCCTTGGTTTCCTCACCTGGAAAATGGACACAGTGAAGTGCCTACCGCATTGTTGCGAGGACCTCTCCCCATGATATAATGTGGATTAAATCATTATGGTGATTATCATGTGTTAAAAAAGCATTTAACATGGTGGGTGATGCTCTCTGAATAAACGTTACCTATTGTCAGGATCTGAACAAGTTCTAGTGAGAGTGTGTGACTCTTTGTCCTGGGCAAAAGTGAGCAGGGGTTGCCTCCAATCACAACCCTGTAACACCGTCCCCATCCCCTGGGCTGATGGAAGAATCACATTCCCCACCATTCTCCCCAAGTTCCTGTGAAGCACCTCTTAACCACTTCCTTCTTTCTCTCCCACTATTTCCCACTTCTGAGTCCACCCAACACCAGTTTCTCCTGTCCCAGCAGGGGCTGGGACCACTCTGAGTCACCTGGTGCCTTCTCTGCCTTGATGGGGCTACTGGAACTCAGGGGACCTCACCCTCTATCCATCCCAGCCTCCGAGACCAGAAAGCTGAATGAGTGGGTAAGGGCAGGAGATATCTCCCCATCCAACTGCCAAGTTTGTGCAAGGGAAAAAACAGAAAAACACCTATTGCCATAAAGTCAACTCCGACTCATGGGACCCCATGTTTTACAGAGTAGAACTGCTCCATAGGGTTTTCTTGGCTGTAATCTTTACAAAAGCAGATCACCAGTCCACTGGATGGGTTCAAACCGCCACCCTTTAAGTTAGTAGTCAAGTGCAAACCATTTGTGCTAGCCAGGGACTTGTGCAAGATAAGCCCTCTGAAATTTAAGAAAACCATTTTTGTTGTTTGCTTGTTAATTGGCTTTTGAGGTTTTTGTTCGTTTGTTTACTTTTCCTGAAAACTTGGGGGAATTGTTTTCCTCTCCCTGAAATTGTCCCCGTGTAACTGTTTCCATTTCTGTGCTGGGGCGGGGGGCGGTGGGGTCTTATACATAGAATCCAGCCAGATCTAGTAGATGTCTGTGTGTCTCAGCTTACCATAGACTTTGGAGCAGTAACATAAGCTGGACGTATACACAACAGAAAATTTCCATAAAGTACAGGTTGCTTTTGTTTCTCCTTTCAAACATCAATTTATTGAACATCTGTTATATGCTGGAAGTCCCTGGGTGGTGCAAATGGTTAAGAGCTCGGCTACTAACCCATAGGTTAATCCATCCAGAGGTGCCTCAGAAGAAAGCCCTGGCCATCTACTTCTGAAACGTCACAGCTATTGATCGAAAACCCTATGGAGTGCAGTTCTACTCTGAAACACGTGGGGTTGCCATCAGTCAGAATTGACTCCACAGCAACTTTTTTGTTTTTTTAATACGCTGGGTGCTGGGCTTTAAGTGGTGAGCACAACACACGTAGAGCCCACAATAGACTGGTATACAGAGTCTGGTATACACAAGGTGCTCAAGGCATGACTAGATCCCTTCCTCTGACTCTTCCCCCACCCCCAATTAGCACACCCAGGAAACATCATTCAGGCATATCAGGTGAGTTTGTCATCCAAGCATTAGAAGGGAAGTAGGTGGGAGCTCAAAAACTCAATTTTTAAAGACAATTCACCCATTTGTTTCATCACTCTGCAAGTGTTATGAGTCCTGTCTTATCCTAAGCCCTGGAGATGAATCAGATCAGGCCCTACCCTCAAAGAGCTGCTAGTCAGGTTTTGGAGACTGGCAGGGTTTGCATTCTTCTCATTCAGGTCTTGACTCAAAGGTCATCTCCTCAAGGAGGCCTTCCGAGATTGCCCTGGCTAAAGGAGTCTCCCCCCCACCCCACCCCCAGTCACCAATTCCACTGCTTTGTTTATTGCTTTTGCAATACTTGTTATATCTGAAATATGACATTTATTTGTGTACTTCATTATGGTCTGTCTCCTCCCCGCATCCTCAGTCTATGAGGACTTTAATTTGTTCATTGCGATTTTCAAAGCACGTGGCACAGTGCCTGGAACACAGAATTCATTCAATGCACTGTTGGATTAACGAATAACACAAAGTGATCCACACTGTGATAGAAGGTACAGGGTGTATGTACCAAGGAGGGACCAAGGACCCTGCCTGAAGAAGTCAGGGAAGGCTTCTCAGAGGAAGGGACATTTATGTGGGGTTTTTAAGGATAAGTAGGAGTTCACCAGGAGCCCTGGTACTGAAGTGGTTAAGAGCTCGGCTGCTAACCAAAATGTCAGCAGTTCGAATCCACCAGCCAGTGCTTGGAAATCCTATGGGGCAGTTCTACTCTGTCCTATAGGATTGCTATGAGTCAGAATCGACTCAACGGCAACAGATTTTTGGTTTAGGAGTCCACCAAGTAGAAAAGGAAATGCATGTCTATCACTTATTATGTGATCTTAGACAAATTACTTGAATGCTCTCTCTACCTCACTTTGTTCCTCTGTGAAATGGAGATAATCATAATGGCTGCTTGATTAGACTCTTGTGAGAAAGAAATAATGTATGTAAAATGCTTACCAAACTGCCTGACAAGAAGTAAACAATAAAGGTGGCTATTAAAATGTGTTCAAAAGCAGTTGGTATGGCACTTAGCACATAGCGGGTATTCAGTCACTGGTCTCAAGGAGTTCCCTCTTTGGACAGGAAATAAGCAATTGCAGTGATGGATGATATGTGCTGTAACAGAGCCCTGGGCTTCACAGGAGATGGATAAGCATATTTATTGAGTGCTTACTAGTGCCAGGCACTGTTGTAAGTGCTTCATATGTGATAATCCATGTAAGCTCCCCCCACAACTCTGGTTATTATTACTGCTTAACAGATGGAGCAACTGAGAGAGGTCCGATGACTTGCTCAAGGCCACACACCTAACACTAGCCAGAGTTGAGTTTGGACCCAGGTGGTCCAGTTCTGAGGTCATTGGGTGGTGCAAACAGTTGGCATTTGGCTACTAATCAAAAAGTTGGAGACTCAAACTCACCCAACGGTGCTGTGGAAGAAGTGCCTGGCAAACTGCTTCCATAAAGATTAAAGGCAAGAAAACCCTACAGAGCTCAGTTGTACTGTGTAACACATGGGGTTGTCATGAGTCGGAGTCAACTCAATGGCAACAGGTTTGGTTTTTTGGTTTCGGTCCAGTTCTAGAATCTATGTTCCAAACTACTCCACTATAGTGAGGGAGCATTCAGGGTGAACCCAGATCCAGTTTGATAATCAGGGCTGTGGTTGAGGAAAGTGGAAGAGGCTGTGAGCACCAAAAATCAGAGAAGGCTTCCTGGAGGAGGGGTGTCTTAGTCATCTAGTTCTGCTCTAACAGAAATACCATAAGTGGATGGCTTTAACAAAGAGAAGTTTATTCTCTCACAGTCCAGTAAGCTACAAGTCCGTCCAAATTCAGACCATCAACTCCAAGGGAATGCTTTCTCGGTCAGCTCTGGAAGAAGGTCGGTGTCATCAATCTTCCTTTGGTCTGGGAGCTTCTCTGCGCAGGAACCTCAGTGCTCCTGGCACTGCTTTCTTGGTGGTATGAGGTTCCCATGTGTCTCTGTCCACTTCTCTCTTTTATATCTCAAAAGAGATTGGATTAAGACACTATCCAATCTTGTAGACCTCATCAGTATAACCTCATACTGACAGAGTTTACAACACATAAGGAAATCACATATAACCTCATCATAGTGATAAAGTCTACAACACATAAGTAAATCACATCAGATTACACAATCATACAATACTGGGAATCATGACCTACAAATTTTCGCAGGGACATAATTCAACCCATGACAAGGGGGCTTTTAGGTTGAGTCTTGAAGGAGGAGTGGGAGCTCTCCAGGAAAAGAAGGATATGGAGAAAGACATTCACTCATTGAATTAACATCTTCTGAGGCCTCCCCTGAGCCCAGCCTTGAACTGGGTAATGCTGGGAACACAGAGGTGAGTCAGACCTGGGCTGGACACTCCAGAGGATGCCCACCTGGTGAGAAAGAGAGATGGAGAGAGAGGTAGGGAGGATGGGGTGGTGGGAAGGGCAATGGCAGATGGCCTGGAAAAAAAACAGGACATATGATGGTACCAAGAGAAGCAAAGGGTGTTTGGTTCTGGGCAGGTTGGATACCTAAGTCCTTGGAGGTAGTGAGGGTGTGGGGAAGGGGGCTTTCCTTTAGCCCTCCAGACAGGAATGAGTTAATTCAGTTGGGACTGGAAACCAAAACCAAACCAGTTGTCTTGGAGTCCGTTTGGACTCATGAGGGGCCCATGGGTTGCAGAGTAGAACTGTGCTCCATAGGGTTTTCATGGTTATGATCTTTTGGAAGCAAACTGCTAGGCTTTGCTTCCAAGGTACCTCTGGGTGGGTTCAAACAGTCAACTTTTCAGTTCATAGCTGAGCGTTTAACCATTTGTGCCACCGAGGGGCCCAAATCCCCAGGGCAGGGAAGGCTCTTTGGATGAGCAAATATGTGTAGCTTTCATACTTTGTGCTCTTTGTCTGTATCTGTCTGTCTGTCTCTCCCTAGGTCCCTCAGTGTCTCTATCTCCCTCTCTTCATTTTCTTTATCTCTCTTTCTCTACCCCATCCCCTGTGGTGCCTGCCTTCTTCCCGCAGAGTCCTGGTTCTTACTCCCATCCCTAGCCTGCTTTCTGGGCCACCTCTCACCCCCAGCCTTCCCTGTGAAGTGGAAGCCAGCTCACCCCAGCTTCATTCAAGACAAACTTGATTCCTCCCCCCAGGACCCCACCTTAGGGATCTTCCTTCTGTTCCTCTTCTCCAGGCTACAAATATCCTGTATCCAGATCTTGCATCCTTAGATCATGGGGATGGGGGCTTACCCCTCTGGTGACCCAGGACGATCTTACAGCGTCTCCACACTCCAGCACCCCCCCCCCTCAGTCTACCACACCTCCAGCAAGGTGGTAGCCAGCTCATCCTGACAGGGGTCCCTGCCTTGCCTACCCTTCCGGAGGCCCTGTCACAGCCCCAGGGTTTCCCCCTCCTGCAGTGACATTACCCAACTCTGATTAATCACGAAGGCGGCCCCAGGGTGGAGTAAGGTGATGGCATGGCTTACCATAAAGAAGCACCCTGGGCGGTGGAGTGCAGGCTCGGAGACCCAGGCGTCCAGAGGTCATGAAGCTGGCATTGGTTTATTCTCTGCTGTCTCTTCTGGCAGGTGAGGCCCCTCTATCCATCCTGGCTGCCCCTCCATGGTCCGGTTCACCACCCATCTTGCCCTTCACCCCACTCCCACCCCCACCCCCACCCCAGTCTTCTGTCACTCTGTGCTCCAAGCTTCTCGGCATCCTGTGTGCGGTCTCCACCTCACCTCATTCCTGTTTGCCTTTCACTGACTCCTCTGCTCCCCACCTCCACCCCAGGGTACAGCTGGGCAGACACTCGGACCATCGGGGCAGAGGAATGCCGCCCCAACTCGCAGCCCTGGCAGGCAGGCCTCTTCTTCTTCACCTACCTCTTCTGCGGGGCGTCCCTTATCAGTGACCGCTGGCTGCTCACAGCCGCCCACTGCCGCACGCGGTGAGTGACCCGGGCTGGCTATGCTGGGGTGGAGAGTAAGGGTAAGGGGCGGACGAAGTAACCTCTGTTAGGGAGCTGTAGGCAGGAGCTATTTTGTAGTCGTTGTTATTGCCCTAGATAGTGGCAACTCCATGTGCGCAGAGTAGAACTGCTCCATACAGTTTTCAAGGCTGTGACATTTCTAGAAATAGATTGCCAGGTCTCTCTTCTGAGGCACCTCTGGGTGAGTTCAAACCATGAACCCTTTGGCCAGTAGTCGAGCACTTAACTATTTGCACCACCCAGGGACCTAGGAAGGAGCTGTAGAAGTCTCTATTTCTGTTACCAAAAGTTCAACTGTTAGAATTACAAATAGTAGACTCCCCAAATTCTAAAACTCAAGAGTCCCAAAATATTTGATCCTAAGAGTCTAAGATTGGAGACTTAGGCTCTTAGAATCCTAGACTGTGATCCAGAGAAATCTAGTCTTAGAATCCAAAAGTCTTGGATCCTTGAAATTCTAGAAATTTGTTGCTGATTCTGACTCATGATGACCCCATGTGTGCAGAGCAGAATTGCTCCATAGGGTTTTCAAGGCTGTGATCTTTCGACAGCAGATCTCCAGGCCTGTCTTTTGAGGCTTCTCTGGGTGAGTTCAAACCACCAACCTGTTGGCTAGTAGTCGAGTGCTTAACCATTTGCTCTACCCAAGAACTCCTCTAAGACTCTAAACCAATACCAAGCCATTGCTGTCGAGTCCATTTCCCCGTAGGATTTCCAAGGGTGTAAATCTTTAAAGCAGCAAACCATCACATCTTTCTCTCACAGAGCGGATGGTGGGTTGAAACCACCAGTCTTTCAGTTAGCAGCTGAGCATTAACCACTGTGCCACCAGGGCCCCTTCTAAAACTCTAGTCCTAAAATATTTGATCCTAAGAGTCTAAGATTGGAAACTTAGGCTCTTAGAATCCTAGACTGTGATCTAGAAAAATCCAATTTTAGCATCCTAAAGTCTTGGATCCATGAAAGTCTAGAACTTTAGCCTCAGAAAATTCTAGAATCATAGATTCCGAGTATTAGAATGATAGAATTCTAGAGCAGCACTGTCCAATATAAATAAAACACGAGCCACATATTTAAGTTTGGGTTTTCTAATAGATGCATTAAAAAAAGTGAAAAGAAACAGGTAGAATTAATTTTAACAATAGATTTAAACTGACCTACTCAAAATATTGTTATTTTAACATGTAATCAATTTTTAAATAATTATGAATAAAATATTTTTCTCTTTTTTGAGAATACTAGACCTTCTAAATCCAGCATGTGTTTTACACTTATGGTACCTCTCAATTTGGACTAGCCACATCTGAAGGACTCAGCAACTGTATTGAATAGTGCAATACTAGAGTCTTAGATTCAGAGTATTCTAGGTTCATTGAATCTAGAAACAGTTCTATAATCTTTGACCCCTGGTGTTCTAGAATACTGTGATTCATGGAATTCTAGAATCTTGAACCAAGAGAATTCTAAAAGCTTAGAATCCTAAATGCCTTACGTTCATAAACATCTAGAATCTAATGGACCTAATATACCAGAATATTATCATTCCAGATTCTTAAAATCCTGAAAGCTTTAATTCAGAGAATTCTAGAGTCTTAAACTATTTGAATCCCAAACTCTTAAAAGTCTAAATGCATAAATTTATGGAATTCTAGAATTCCATAATGATGAAATTCATCTTATTATCCCAGAATCATGGATTCATAGAACGTTAAAACCTGTTGCCGTTGAGTAGATTCTGACTCATAGTGACCCTATAGGACAGAGTAGAACTGCTTCATAGGGTTTCCAAGGTTGTAATCTTTGTGGAAGCAGACTGCCACGTCTTTCTCCCATGGAGGTGGGTTCAGATCGCTGACCTTTCGGTTAACAGCTGAGTGGTTTAACCACTGTGCCCCAGGGCTCTTTCACAGAAAGTTAGAATCTTAGAATTCTCGAATCTTTGGTTCTGGGCATTCTGAGCTCTTAGAATCCTAGAATCTACCCGCTGCAGGTGTCTTCTCTACATTATCTCTGAAGAGTGGCCGTCCATATTGTTCCAATATTTTTCCCTCCAGGAATGAAGCACAGATGTTGGGACATCTATGTGAGAATTTCCCACCCTGCATTGCTCCCCAGTGGGGCCTCTTTAATTCAGGCCTGTACATCAGGCTGGGAGAACAATGGTTGGATTTCAGCCTAAAGACAAAGCAGGATAGAAGCAGAGATATGGAGATAGAAGAAATTCAGAGGCAGATATGAGAGAGAAAGGCATGAGAGGCTGGCCTTTCAGACATAGAGCCAAGATAAGGAGGGTGACAGAGGGGGATAGAGATAGAAATAACGCCCCACACTCCCCAAATCCTGAATTCTAAGTCATTAGCTGGTTCCTTAATGTCACAGACTAGAAGACAAACATGTACAGCTCCAAAGGGTCCCCAACTGTCCAGGGCACAGAACCAGGACAGAGCAAGTGGGCTGGGACTGCAGCAAGAGGGCTTGAGGTTAGACTGTGAAAGAAATCCATTGAGGGGTGAGGGCTATGGCAAGCAGAAGCCCAAGGTCACAGGCTGAGCCAAGATGACCAGTTTGGGGATTTTCCATATTCCATCCCTTTCTATACATACACACACAAACACACACAGAGCCACTCCACACAGAAGCCACCAGACCTCTGGGGGCATGAGGTAGGGCTGTTGTTATATGGTGGGTGGGGGCCCCACGTACCCACACAGTTCCAAGGGACCCAGGTCACCACCAGGGCTCTGAGTGGGGCAGAGAGGAAGGTGGCTCACTCAACATGGAGCTAGGAGGGTCTTCAAACTTTTGGGAGAGGGATACAAAGATAGAAGCAGACAAAGAGAAGGAGTGGGAGCAGGGGCCCAGAGAGGGTATGTGGCTTGTGGTGGGTCATACAGCACTCTGGTGGACAGGAAAACAGAGAAGATGTATGCCTGGCTTAAAATCACACAGTACCCTGGGTCATAAATACATGATGGGGAAACAGAGAGGGTATGTGCCTTGCTTAAAATCACACAGCACCCTAACACACAAGAAAACAGAGGGTGTGTGCCTTGCTTAAAATCACACAGCACCCTAACACACAAGAAAACAGAGGGTGTGTGTCTTGCTTAAAATCACACCCTGGGTCACAAATAGATGATGGGGGCCCAGAGAAGGTGTGTGTCTTGTGGAGGGTCACACATCACCCTGGTAGAAAGAAAAAGAGGACTGGGGCAGAGAAGACACCCACCTTGCCCCAGCTTGACCTCCAAGGCTTGTCCCCACAGGTACCTGTGGGTTCGCCTTGGGGAGCACCACCTCTGGAAGTGGGAGGGTCCAGAGCAGCTGTTCCGGGTCACAGACTTCTTCCCTCACCCTGGGTTCAACAAAGACCTCAGCGCCCAAGACCACAATGATGATATCATGCTAATCCGCCTGCCCAGGAAAGCACGCCTGGGTCCTGCTGTGAAACCCCTCAACATCAGTGAGAACTGTGTCTCCCCAGGCACCCAGTGCCTCATCTCAGGCTGGGGGGCTGTGTCCAGCCCAGAAGGTATGGCCTTGCCTGCAATAAATTCTCCTATGTCCCATGTCAAGGGTCTGGCACTGCTCTCTCTCTTTCTCTCTTCATCTCTATCTATCTATCTGTCTATCTATCTATCTATCTATCTATCTATCTATCTGTCTATCTATCTGTCATCCACTTATTTATGAGCCTTGGTGGTACAATGGTTAAGCACTTGGCTGCTAACTGAAATGTTGGTGGTTTGAACTCACCCAGCGGCTCCACAGGAGAAAGACCTGGAAATCTGCTCCCCTAAAGATTACAGCCTAGAAAACCCTTTGGGGCAATTCTGCTCTGTCACATGAGGTTGCTACGAGTCAAAACTGACTCAACAGCACCTAATAATAACATCTATCTATCTATCTTCTACCTATCTATCCATGAGCCTTGGTGGTGCAATGGTTAAGCACTTGGCTGCTAACTGAAAAGTTAATGGTTCGAATCTACCAAGTGACTCCAAGGGATAAAGACCTGGCAATCTTCTCCCATAAAGATTACAGCCTAGAAAACCCTATGGGGTAGTTCTACTGACACATGAGGTCGCTATGAGTCAAAATTGACTCAAGAGCACCTAATAATAACATCTGTCTATCTGTCTATATCTATCCACCCATCCATATATTTCATCAAATATAAGATGCTATAAATTGTAAGATGCATCATTATTTTATGAGCCACTAAGCATGGGAAAAAAAAAATGGTCAAACTGATCATTGTATGACACCATTTACTGAAAGACACTTCCTGATTTTAGAAATGTTTAAATGTGAGGGGTAAAAAAACATGCTCTTAGAATGGAAATAAGGCATACGTATCTCTGAATGAACATATCTGTCTTGGAAGAAGTACAACCAGAATGCTCCTTAGAACCAAGGATGGTGAGACTACATCTCACATACTTTGAACATGTTATCAGGAGGAACCAGTCCCTGGGGAAGCACATCATGCTTGCTAAAATAAAGGGTCAGCGAAAAAAAGGAAGACCCTCAATGAGATGGATTGACACAGTGACTGCAACAATGGCCTTAAGCATAACAAAAATTCTGGGGATGGTACAGGGCTGGGCAGTGTTTCATTCTGTTGTACATGGAGTCACTATGAGTTGGAACCAACTTGATGGCACCTAACAACAACAACAATCTCTGAGTCACAAATCAGCAATCCATTAGCCAAATTTGGCCTCCAAGATCAGTGTTGGTTTTCAAAGTATCTTGACAAAAGTATGAATTTGTTGCTCTTGTCATCTAAAACCTGGGAGATATTATGTGAAAGACAGATTTCTGGGTTTGCTTGAAAAATTCAAAGAATTGGCATTACTGGGCCACATTCCCAAAATAACAACAATTACAGAGTTGTTAGAGGTTGCCCCTTCAGACATAACATGAGTTCACTGGTTCACTGCAGACCACCCCATTGGATACTGTCCCATTGACTAAATGGGAACTGGTTTGGTGGGGTTTTTGTTTTTTAAATTTGTTTCTACTTCTTAACTGTTGTTGTTAGGTGTCCTCGAGTCAATTTTGACTCACAGTGACCCCATGTGACAGAGTAGAGCTGTCCCATAGGGTTTCCAAGGCTGTAATCTTTACCAAAGCAGATCACTGGACCTTTCTCCTGTGGAGCCTCTGGGTAGGTTTGAACTGCCAACCTTTCAGTTAGCAGCCGAGTGCTTAACCGTTGTTCCACCAGGGCTCTTTACTTCTTAACTATCTACCTCTATATATCTAGTGTCTCTATATCTCTATCTGTCTCTATCAGTGACCATCTCACTATGTCTCTTCCCATTTATCTCCCTATCACCCTCCCCCTTGATGTCTCTGAGCATGTCTCTCCTTACTTTATTTTCTCCTCTGAGAATCTGTTTCCCCTTGAGAGGCCTCTACCTCTCTCCATGATCTCTATTTATCTCTGCTCCAGTTATATATGTATCTGCCCTTGTCTCTTTTCTCTCTACATCTTTCTGTTTCTCTCTCTCGGGCCCTCTCCCCCCTTCCCATCTCCCTCTGCTTCTCTTTCATGCTGTGATTCTGTCTCTGTCTTTTTGTCTCTTGTCTCTATCTCTGAATCTTATGCTGTGGCCCCACTGTTCCTCTCTCCTTTGGGAAGGGTCCAAGGGGTGGGGGTACTGGGAGTGATGTAGGCAGCTGCTGATCCCCTGTGGTCCTCCTCCCCAACAGCGGAGTACCCAAAGACCCTGCAGTGTGCCAACATCAGCATCCTGGAGCCCACACTCTGCCATCTGGCATACCCAGGCCACATCTCTGACAGCATGCTGTGTGCTGGCCTGTGGAAGGGCGGCCGCGGCTCCTGCAAGGTGAGACTTTAAGCTGGGAAGAGGGGGCTAGGTCCTGGGCAAGAAAGGGACTGGACCCCCAAACTTTCTGGGTCAAAGAGAAGAAGGAGCTGTGACACCTGAGTCCTGGAGGAAGATGGACTGGGGGCCTAGACTTTTGGATCAGAAGGGAGAGGGGATTGGGGGTTCAGACTCTGGGGATTGGGGGAGGAGGAGGTGGTGCCTGGACCCCCGGGTGTGTGAGACAAGTGCCTGGGAGCCTGCACTCCTGAGTGTTGGAAGAGGGGAAAACTGGAGGCCTTCCTGAGAAGGAGAAAGTGGCCGATGTGATGATGGTCATGAATAGGCCTGTCTAACCGTTCCCTGTTCCTACCCTGTCCACAGGGTGACTCTGGGGGCCCCCTGGTTTGTAACGAGACCCTGGCCGGAGTGGTATCCGGGGGCGCAGAGCCCTGCTCCAAACCCCGGCGCCCCTCCGTCTATACCAGCGTATGCCACTACGTGGACTGGATCCGAAAAACCATGGAGGAAAATTGAGCCCCCGCTTTAGTAGGCTAAGAGACAACTCTGCGAGCGAGGTCAGGAAAACTGTAGGGCTCCAGCCTCAACAGCCTCAGCCCTTGGCCTGCAGCTGCCCTACAGACTGTTCATATTCAGACTCCCCCCCACCCCCAACCATTATGTAGCCCTGCCTCCTGGAACCGAGCGAGAAGCCTCCGCCCCTCGTGGACTCTTATATGTGACGTCAGCGACAACAGACAGCACCACCGTGGAACAACACTCCCTTGTGGCTCCGCCCCTTGGAACTTTGCCCAATGGAACTTCCCCTCTGGGCTCCACTCCTTGTGGCTTCGCCCTCTTAGCTCAGCGATGTTAGATGCTGTAGCTCCGCCCACTTGGAACTCGGCTACCGACGGACTCCGCCCTTCGCGGCCCCGCCCTGGACGTGCTGTGGATTTGAATTCTGGCGGGGTCGCGATTGGGGGAAGTTGGGGGGATGGTCTCCGTCCCTTCAGTGCCAACAACTCATTTTGCAATAAAAGCGATGAGCCGCGCCTTCCTTCTGTTTGCGTTGTGTAATGAAGGGAGGGCGACGGTGGGCGGTGGAGGGAACCGCCGCCACGTTGCAATTATCCTTGAGCCCCTAGTAAGTCCTGCTGGAGTCTGTCTCCATCAGACCTATTGCAGCAAGGCTCCTGGGTTGTGCTTGGGTTGGACCTGCCGCCGCCAGAGGAAGGGGAAACCAGGTCAAGGCGCCTCCCAAACCTGCCTTCCCAGATCCCCGACCTCTCAGGTGGGCAGAAGGCGGGTCTGATCCGCCCTCTGGTCTCTGGACCAAAAAGACCCGCCCTTTTTCGTTCTGGTTGACAGATAACAAACCCCTCCTTCCATAAGAATCCAGCTGTCAACCCCTTCCTCCTCAAATTCAGAGTTCAGGCCCTAGCTCCCTCCTCCATCAGACCCAGGAATCCAGGCCCCCAGCCCCTTCTCCCTCAGAGTTCAGGCCCCCCTTCCCCTGCTCCTCAGATCCAGGAGTCACAGCCTTGAGCTCCTGCTCCCCGGTGCCTCATGAGTCCAAGACTCTACCCTCTCCTCCCTTAGAATTTCTTCTGTAGACCCTCAGCCCCCTCCTCACTCAGACCCAGGGTTCCAGCTCTGGGATGCTCCAAGGGCTCAAGTGCAGAAGGAGGTGTCGCAGGAGGTGGGGATTCCCAGTTAAAAGGCTCCAGAATCGTGTACTGGGATGCAGAACTGAAGTCCTGGGGCCTCTCCTGCTGGGTCCGAATCAGTAGGTGACTCCGCCTCCTGGATTCTGTGAGGTGAGATGTAGAGGTACTCAGACACAGGCATCAGGCCCCTAGCCCTCTCCTCCCCCAGAGTTCGGGACCGTAGCTTCAGACTCTCTCTTCCGTCAAGACCCAGGAATCCAGGTCACCAGTTCCCAAGACTTAGGTCCTAACTCCCACCTCCCTCTCCTCTCTAACCCAAGAATCTGGCCCCCAGCCCCCTTCTCCTCAAGAATTAGGAATCCAGGCACCCCGTTTCCTCATTCCTCAGACCGAGGAATCTGGGTCCTCAGCCCCCTCCTCCCTCAGACCTAAGAGTCCGGGTCCCCAGCCCCTCCTCCCTAAGATTTAGAAGTCCTGATTCCCAGCTCCCTCTCCTTTCAGACCCAGGAATCCGGGCCCCAAATCACTCCTCCCCCAGGACCCAGGAGTCTGAGACCCCTACTCCCATCCTCCTTAGGAACTGGGAATCCAGTCACCCAGCCCCACCCCTCAGATTCAGGGATCCGAGTCCCCCAGCCCGTTCTTTTCTCGGGACCCGGGAGAACAGCTCCGGATGGATGTCTCTCAGCTCCGTCCCAATCCCAAAATCCCTGTACTAGGATTTCGGATTTCTCCTTCCTCCTCTCTCAGCCCCGCCCTTTCCCTCTCCCAGACCCCACCATGGGACGCCCCCAACCTGGCGCAGTCTTGACCTGGACGTTCCTGCTTTTGCTGTTGGAAGCCTGGGCAGGGAAGGGGTTTGGGGAAGGGGCTGGAACACATCGGTGGCGTGTGGGGGGGGTGTAAAGCGTGTGATTACTTGCAGGAGCCTCTGTGAGCTTTCCCGAGGATGGGCGGAGGCTTGGAGCAGAGGTCTAGCAAGGGGAGGGATTAGCGAGGGCATTTGCCCCCGGGGCGCAAGTCCAAGGGGGCGCCAGATAAGGCCGGCCGGGGAATCACCTCCCGCCTAGGTCAAGGGGGCGGGGCCAAACTTAGAGATTGCCCCTGGGCGCTCCTTACCCTCGCAATACCTCCGGTGTAGCGCCTGTGGGTGCAGGTATGAGTTTGAGTTATGCTGAAAACCAGCGGTGGGATGACTGTTGAGCAGTGCACATGCACACGGGGGAGTACAACCGGAGCGTGTGCATGCATGTGAGAGCATGTGGAAACGGACTTGGATGTGTGACTCCATGCGTGATGACTCATGGGCTTGATTGCATGTATGTATGAATTCGTGTGGCATCGTGTGGAGGCCTGAGACTTCACCCCTTGGTGTGTGTGCAGGCGTGTAGCGGTGGCATGAGGCAGGTGGAGAACTTGCCATGTGTTCATTTAAACAGTACTGTATTGGGCTTGGAAACCCTGGCGGCGTAGTGGTTAAGTGCTGCCGCTGCTAACCAAAAGGTCAACAGTTCAAATCCACCAGGCACTCCTTAGAAACTTTATGGGGCAGTTCTACTCTGTCCTATAGGGTCACTGTGAGTCGGAATCGACTCCACAGGGGTTTGGCTTGTTTTTTTTTTTTGGTTTGTATTGGGCTTGGCCAGTACTGGGAAGGAGAGGAGGAGCTGGTGGGCCCAGTGGAACCCAAGCTGTTAGTAAGGCTTAGCCCCCAGGAGGAGACAAAGAAGGGAAAGTGACTGCGTTATTGAAATGCACTGGTTTCCCATGCTGGAAACCTTGAAGGCTACAATACTAACAGGAGTGGTGGCGGAAAGAGAAGAAACTAAAAGATTATTGAGCAGGGCTCAAAAAAAAAAAAAAGGTTGGTTGAATGAACGAGTAGGTGAATGAATGAATAGCTTCCCTTTATAGTGGACAGTACCATGCTATGAGTCCTTTTGTACAAAACAGTGGTTTTCCTGGCCCTGGCGCTGCCTGAGAGGGTGGCAGCCCAACTCTCTCCCTCTTGCTGTAGGACACTTGAGGGCACAGGAGTCCAAAGTGCTGCAGGGTCAGGAGTGTGAGGATCATTCGCAGCCGTGGCAGGTGGGCTTGTTTCAGGGTAACTGCCTGCTCTGTGGGGGTGTCCTTATCGATGACAACTGGGTCACCACGGCTGCCCACTGTAAAAAACCGTGAGTGGATGCCCGGGCAGAGGTGGGCAGGGGCCTGAGGAGAGAGGGGGCTGGAGCCTCTACTTAAGGAGAATGGGGCTGGGGCCCAGACTCCTGGGTCTGAAGGAGGAGGGGCCTGGGGACATGGCCTTCTGGGTGTGAGGAAGAAGGGATCTGGGGGTTCAGATCCTGGGGTGTGGGAGGAGGGGTCTGGGAGCCTGGAATTCCAGGTCTGAGGGAGGAGGGGGCTAGGAGTCTCTGGGCTCCTGAGTCTGAGGGAGGAGGAGGCTGAAGGTTTAGACTCCTGGATCTGAGGGAGGAGGGAGCTGGGCTCCTGGACTCCTGAGTCTGAGGGAGGGGAGGGCAGGAGGCCCTGATTCCTGGCTCTGAGGGAGGAAGTGTCTGGGGTCCTGAACTCCTGGATCTGAGAAAGGAAGGGGCTGGGGGCCTGGGTTCCCAGATCTAGTGAAGGAAAAAGCTAGGGTCCCAGACTCCTGCCTGGGTCCCAAACTACCCCCACCATTACAGGAAGTACACAGTTTGCCTGGGAGATCACAGCCTGTAGAGTAAGGATGGGCTGGAGCAAGAAATGGCTGTAGCTGAGTCCATCCCTCACCCCTGCTACAACAATAGCAGTGAGGACCACAACCATGATCTGATGCTCGTTCGACTACGAGGTCAGGTGTTCCTGGGATCTAAAGTGAAGCCCGTCAAGTTGGTAGATCGCTGCCCCCAGGCTGGCCAGCTGTGCACCATCTCTGGCTGAGGCACTGTCACCAGCCCCCAAGTTACTGGGCTTGGCCAGCACTGTGAGAGAGAGGAGGAGTTGGTGGGCCTAGTGAACTCCAAGCCATTAGCAAGTCTTGGCCTCCAGGAGAGACAAAGAAGAGAAAGTTATTGTGTTGTTGAGATGCACAGGGGGCCCATGCTGGAAACGTTGAAGGCCACAATATTAATAGGAGTGGTGGGGGAAAGACAAGAAACTAAAAGATCGTTGAGCAGGGCTCAAAAAAAAAGGATGGATGAATGAATGAGTAGGTGAATAAATATAAATGAGTATCCTTCCTTTATGGTGAAGAGCACCATGTTATGAGCCCTTTTGTTGTACAGGATTTTAAGTAATCCTCTTTTCAGATTTGGGATATACGGACTCCTGGGGGAGGATAGGGGAACCCATAGGGTTTTCTTGGCTATAATCGTTATGGAAGCAGATCACCAGGCTGTTCTTCTGTGGTGCTGTTGGGTGAGTTCAAACCACCAACCTTTCAGTTGGTGGTTGATTGCAAACTGTTTGTACCACCCAGGGACCTTGGACTCCCCAGGGACCCAGGAAACCAGGCTTCTAACACCTCCTCCCTCTGGCCCCAGGCCCCTCCTTCCCTAGGAACCAGGAGTTCAGGCTTTTCCCCCCTTAAGGCCCAATAAACTAGGACTCCAGCTTCTTCTTCACTCTGGGCCCAAAAGTCTGGGTCTCAATGGAAATCCCTCCTTTGGGAATTCAGAGTGCAGACAGCCCTTCACCCCACCTCACAGATGAAAATAAGGGCTCAGCTCAGGGAGACAACTTAACTTGTTAATGGCAAAGCCAGGATTCAGGTCTCTGCCTGTCTGACTCCTGCTTCTGCAGAGGCAGTGTGATGCTGTGGAAATCCTCCTGCTACTAATCAGGCAGATCACTTCAAAACGTGGCTTTCCCCCATTTTCTCTGGGCAAGTCGCTCCCATCTCTCAGCCTCGCTTGCCTCATTTGCAAAATGAGATAACTATCCAATAGATTTTGAGCTCCAAGAGGGCTTGGATTGCATGTATTTTCTTCATTGCTGTGTCTCTAGGGCTCAGGATGGTGGCTGGTCTACAGTAGGTGCTCTAGACGTATTTGTTGAATGAATAAAGAAATGAATAGATGCATCAGTCCTTCAAAGAGCTGCTATGAAGTGCCAGATAAAAGTTTTTTTTTTTCCTTCCTCAAGTCTACTCCCTAAGGAAGCTAATGAGAAAGATCAATTCCATTTTCAATCATTAATTCAAGACATATTTATTGAGTACCTGTTCTGGGTGATGCAAACTATCAAGCGCCCAACTTCTAATCAAAAGATTGGCAATTTGAACCCTCCCAGAGGTGCCTTAGAGGAAGGCCTGGCGATCTGCTTCCAAAAGGTCACAGCCTTGAAAACACTATGGAGCAGTTCTATTCTGCACACATGGGGTCACCATGAGTTAGAACCGACTGGATGGCAAGTGGTTAGTACGCCCCAGGTGCTATTCTAGGCACTGGAATACAGCCGTGAATAAACCATTAGACATCCCTGTCCTCATGGAATTATATGCTAAGTGGGGGAAATAGACAATAAACAAACACATATAAAATAAAATATCAGGTAACAGCTATAGTGGAATAGTATGCAGGGTAAGAGGCTAGGGAGTGATGAATGGGTGGTGTTTTAATTAGAAAGGTCAAAGAAGGCTTCTAGGAGGAGGTGACATTTGGAAGAAGTAAGACTTAGCTGAGATTGAGGAGCTGGTGGTCTGTAGGGAGAAAGAAGGCAGAAGATTAGAGAGAGAGAGAGTCAAAAGTATCACAAGGGGGCACCTCCAAGTCCCTCAGCCACTTGTCCCTTAATTTGAAAATGTCTCAGGGCAAGAAATAAAAGGTAAGATCCAAGGGCTCCTTTCTTGGTGGAGAAAGGGGAACAGCATAGCTTCATTTTTTCACACCCCACCGGAACAGCAACAGGAGTTGCTCCAAGGGGCACAGGTCAGATTCCAAAAAAAGAGACAGAAAAAGCCAAGTTGATCAGACAAGGCTTTATTAGGGAACTTACATACAGAGGCCGACGCTAAGATTTCTCACAATGGACAGCAGAGCATCGAGTGTCACCCAGGTAGAGGTCTGCATAGGGCAGTGCGTGGTAGGGGTGTATATACTTAGTGCTTACGTGTAAGGATGCATGCAAAGGACCCAGGAAAAAACATGTCTAATCTACAATGGATGGGGTTGTTTCTGTACTAGTTAACGGGTTCCAGTTGACGTTATCATGGAGTCAGGTGTTTGGTGTGTTTTTTCCTGGCCCAAGTCACTGTCCAGTTAAGTACTCTGCTTCTCTCCCAGAGTCCTTTGTGGGCAAGATTCATCTTGTATATTCATGGCTCCCACACATTTACTGTGGGGAGAAGAAATACACCCTGCAAACTGTGTCAGAAAACTCCCCATGCAGCTGCAAACAAAAGGGAAGTTGGAGCCAGACAGTCATGGAGCAAAAGGGTTGCTCTTTCTGGAAACTTACAACCTCTTCTCCCTCAGAGAATTCTCCTGACACCCTCAACAGCGCAGAAATAAAAATCTTTCCCCAGAAGCAGTGTGAGGACGCCTACCCCAGGAAGGTCACAGATGCTATGGTCTGTGCGGGCGACAGCAGTGGAGCTGACATGTGCCAGGTGAGTGACATCCGAACTCTCACCTCCCTCATTCCCTCACCTCCCTGTACAGGCTTGAAGCTTAGAGGGGGAGTGTTCCCAAAGAGTTAGCACCCAGAGTGGCCACCCCTATATCAACAGAGTGAGAACCAGGTTCAAAGAAGGGTAGACTCTCCCTGAAGGTCACCCAGCACAGGGAGTCCTGAATTGTTACTGCTATTTTCTTGGAAACTCTTGCCTCCAGTATAGGGTGCAAGCTGGGGCAGGGGGGATTAGAGGGGATGAGAGAAGGTGCGAATGAAAGAAAGTCTGGAGCTAGAGGTTAGACAAGCACCCTACTTTCTTTCCCAGTGATATTTCCCGGAATGTGGACTGACTCTACTTCTGGCCAAGTAGTCAGTCTCTTTCCTTTGGGACCTGGTTGGGTTCCCAAAGGAGCCCAGGTGGCACAGTGGTCAAGCACTCAACAGAAAGGTCGGCAGTTCAAACCCACCAGCTGCTCCGTGGGAAAAAGATGTGGTAGTTTGCTCCCATAACGATTACGGCTTTGGAAACCATATGAGGCAGTTCTACTCTGTCTTGCAAGGTGGCTATGAATCAGAATCAACTCTACAGCAATGGGTTTGGGTTTCCAAGCATGGCTACCTTCTCCTATGATTGGTTCCTTGGGGAACAATGTTTTCTTCCCAATTGGCTGGGAAATGGCGCCATTCTCTTCACCACTGGCCGCGAATCCAGGAGACCTCAGCTCTGTGTCCTCTATGTAATCTCCAGTCACGCCTCTCTGGATTGGACCCTCAAGACAGCATTCGCTTCCCTGATTGGCCAGGATTTGTGCCAATGTCCTTAGACAACCTGTCTGTATCCTTGTACATGGAAACCTCACCCCCATTTCTCCCTCTCCTTCTGTCGCTCCTTCTTTCCCTCCGTCTCTCTCTCCCTCCTTCTCTCTCTCTGCCTTCTTTTCCCTGTCTCTCTCTCTCCCTCTCTCTCTTTCTCTCTTCTCTCTCTCTCCCTCCCACTCCGTCTCTCTCTCCCTCTCCCTCTCTCTTGCTCTCTGTCTCTCCCTCCCCCTCCTTCCTTCCCTCCCTCTCTCTCTCATGATTTGTCCAGCGGACAATGCTCATTGGCTGGAGGGTAGCAATTATGCTAAACACCTAGTACTAAAAGCTGGATACAGCAGGGAAATGAACCTTGTGGGCTTGTTACGTGAAATTCTCCTCACCTTCTCATTACAGGGTGATTCTGGGGGCCCACTGGTGTGTGGTAGCGTTCTCCAGGGCATCAAATCCTGGGGCTCAGACCCCTGTGGGCGGCCGGAGAGACCTGGCGTTTATACCAACCTCTGCCGCTATCTGGACTGGATCAAGAAGACCATAGGTAACGGGTTGATCCTCAAAGAGTCCTAGATTCCCCTCAATAAACTAAAAACTCCAGCCTGGCTCCTTGCTTATCTTTGGCTCTGTGAGGAAGGGTGCCAAGGGGGGGAAGGCTGCTGGGAGATTTAGTGAGAGTTCTGGAGAGGCGAGGACCCCAGAAGCCATCACTTCTGCCTGGAGAGACCCTCTTTTTTCTGTAAAGATTGGGGGTGTGAGAGATTTATTTCAGGGAAGAGAAGACATACAGTGGTTTCCAAACAGCCAATAGGCTGCTCTGTAAAAGACAGACTTGAAGAGGTTTTTGTTTAATTTTTCTGAGCATCTAAGGTATTTAAAAGCTTTTTTAGGGGGAGACGTTCTCTTTTAATTGTGAAATATGTATACCTAAATAGAGCATTGACCAAAACCAAACCCCATCCAGTTGATTCAGACTCAGTGACCCTATAGGACAGAGTAGAACTTCCTTATAGGGTTTCCCAGGCTGTAATCTTTATGGTAGGATTTCCCAGGCTGTAATCTTTACGGGAAGGAGCCCTGATGGTGCAGTGGTTAAGTGCTTGGCTGCTAACCGACAGGTTGGCTGTTCAAACCCACCAGGCGTTCCACGGCAGAAAGATGTGGCAGACTGCCTCCATAAAGATTCACAGCCTTGGAAACCCTATGGGGCAGTTCTACTCTCTCCTACAGGGTGGCTATGAGTCAGAATTGCCTCAGTGGCAATGGGATGTTAATCTTTACAGAAGCAGGTTGCCATATCTTTCTCCTTCCGAGGACTAGTGGGCTTGAACCACTGACCTTTCGGTTAGCAGCCAAGGGCCTAACTGTTGTGCCACCAGAGCACTGGCAGCCCCCAAAAAGTCTGAGATGAAGTAGTGGTGGTTCAGTGGGAAAATTCTCACCTTCTCTGCAGGGGCCCCAGGTTTGATTCCCAACCAATGCACCTCATTCACAGCTACCACCTGTCAGTGGAAGCTTATGTGTTGCTATGATGCTGAACAGGTTCCAGACTGAGACAGACTAGGAAGAAAGACCTGACAATCTACTTCCAAAAATAAGGCAGTGAAAACCCTGTGATCGCAATGGTCCAATCAACAACCCATCATGAGGATGTCATAGGGCTGGGAAGCATTTCATTCAGTTGTGCATGGGGTCATCATGAGTCAAGGGCAGACCCTACGGCAGCTTATAAAACAACAGAAGTCTGAAAGACAGAAGTTTTTTTTAAAGAGAACTAGGAATCTTTCTCACAGTTTAGAGTTGCCTAGGTATCTGCTGTTGCAGGAAGGAATGAACATCTCATCATTGCTGGTGTCCACATTGAAGCTTGATACCCACTGAGTGGAGGAAGGGACATTTTGGGGAGTTTTCATTAGAGCAGAGGTTTAATGCAAGTTGTCTTGGGGAAGGATGTGTGTGGAGAGGGGCAGTTTTTGTAAGGACATAAATGAAACAGAAATCTAATTCAAATAGAGACTGGCTCCTAGTGTCTGTCTCTTCACTCTTCCTGTCTGTTGCCTTCCTTCTTACTACCAACCATCAGACTCATTTCTTTGACTCTAGAACTCCTTTCTCTATTTCATGATTTTACATTCTCATACTTTCTGCTCCTTTATAGGCTGCTCCAGTCTCTCTCCCAATTTCACACCCTTTCAACTTCATCTCCCACTATCAACTGCTTTGCTCTCCCAGGATTTCTCAGATTACATTCTCAAAAAAGAGAATCTGATTGGTCCAGCTCATCTTTTCTCCTTCAGTCATAGGTCAATGAATGGCCAATGCTTTGACTGCATTCAGGTCAGGTGACTAGCCCTATCCAGTCAGTGGGTTTTTAGAGTCATGTGATACAAAATATGGCCACCTGAGGCTGTGGGCAGGGCAATTTCCCAGAAGTGGTATGGGTGTGGGAAAAGTTCTGCAGGCATCAGCTTTTCTAATCCACCGTGACAGTTCTTTCCCAATTCCAGAAATCCTGAGGAAATCTTTTGGATCCTGTACTAAATCCCCTGGTGCTGGGGATACATTTCTGGAGGGGTTACTCAAGGGACAGCTCAAACCAAATAGTTGTTTGACAATTTTTTATTGTGGAAAATTTCAAACATATGCACAATAAAGGGAATAGTACAATGAACCTACATGTACCACCACACAGCTTCAACAATTAAAAATACAAAACGTTTTTGTTTCACCTATACTCCCACATGCTCTCCCAATGCTGGATTATTTTGAAGCAAATCTCAGTCATCCCATCATTTCATTCTTAAATATTTCATTATGTATTTCTAAAACTACAGCTAGTGGGCCAAATCCCACAAACTAAAAATGATTTTTACAGCTAAACATTTGCAATCTTTTTGATGATAGAGAAGACTACTAACTTTGTACTCTAATAAGCAAGATGTTATCCTCTAAGAAAGAATTCCATTCTTTGTTGTTGAGTGCCATTGAGTTGATTTTGACTCATGGTGACCCCATGTGACAGTAGAACTGCCCCATAAGGTTTTCTAGGTTGTAATCTTTACGGGAGCAGATCACCAGGTCTTTCTTCCTTGGAGCTGCTGGTTGTGTTCAAACCGCCAATCTTTCAGTTAGCAGCCAAGTGCTTAACCATTGGGCCATGAGAGCCCTTATTTGTCTCATTAGTGTACCTGTATTACAAAAATTGTATTAAATTATTATATTTTAAATTTCATCAATTAAAAATGTGTGGAAATTTGTTTTCTCTTTTGTTATGTAAGAACCTACATAAGAGCCTTGATTTTGCCTCTTGGTTCACAAAGCCTAAAATGTTTACTATCTGTCCCTTTATAGAAAAAGTCTGATAACTCCTGCTCTAAAAGGAGGGATTCTTTTAAATATAAGCACCCTAGCATTATCACACCTTACAGAATTAATGATAATTCCTTAATATGATCCAACATCCAGGTGATATTTAAATTTCCCCAGTAGAATATAAGCTGGAGTGGACTTGAAGATTGATTCATGATATTAAGGGGAGAGGGTGGTGGCTGAGGTCTGAGAGGGGAAGGGATTTCTCCAAGGTCAACCAGCAAGCCAGGAATAGAACCATGGACTGTAGAATCTGGCAGGAGATTGGAGCACCAGGAAGGGACAAAGGCTGTGAGCACTCATTTAGTTGAGGATCTTATTTCTGCCTTAGTCAGGGAACTTTTGGATGTAAGTGTCGGAGCCCCAATTCAAACTGGTTTACACAAAAGAAGGAATTTGTTGGTATAGGTAGTCAGGAAAACTGTAGGGGTGGCTCAGGACATTAATAGAAGAGACATGGGTACCAGGCCTCAAGGACTTGAAATGGTGACTTAAGCCAGTCAGCTGTCTCTCTCTCTTTCTGTGTGGCACTTTTTCTCTCTGTCTCTATTTCTGTTTCCCATATGTATGAGCTGTTTCTCATTTCTGCGTATGTATTTTTTCTCTCCTGTGAGTCTTATTCTGGCCTTCTGTAGGCGGATTTCTTCACGTGAAGGGATTATAGCAGATCCAGTTAAGCAAACCCAGCAGAAACAATGGTCTTTTTCCCATCATCTTGATAGTAGTCCCAAGGAAGAACTCTAATTGGTCCAGCTTGAACTGGGCCCACCCCTTGGATCAATCACTCTTACCCGGGGGAAAGCAGTGCTCTTGTTGGCTTGGCCTGCGTCATGCATCCGTCCCAATGGATGGGTGGGTAGATGGAGGTGGAGAACTATGACTGACAGTTTCACCAGAACTATATGAAACGAGAGGGGCAACTCTCCAAAAGAAGTAGAGTTCTGTTCTTGAAAGAAGGGGGAAGGCAGTCTGGGAAATCAGAAACAATGGGCCTTTAGAACCTGGGGGCTGAATCAGGAGGTGCCAGGGTCATAGTATTTAAGATCCTGCAGGGCAGGTCCCAGCTGGCATGACAGAGTCAGAAGCCAGCTCTCAGGTGTGATCGTGAGCTGGAAGATGAGTCATCTGGCAAAGGTTCAGGACATAGGTCTGAGGGAAAATGGGGTAGGAGGCTGGGTGTCTGGGTGGGTCTTAGGAACAGGTGCTGGGACTAAACTCAAAGGAAATAGGGGTGGAGGCTATCACTTATGTGGGGGCATGAATCATAATAGGACCCAGGGGTTCCAGGTCTTGTTTGAACCAAAGGAGACTCCAGAGGTAATACCATGGGCTTTTGAATCCCCAGCATTTGAATTCTGACCCTTCCGTTCCATAGTTGTATAAATTTGGGCAAATGGTTTAACCCCTTTTAAAGCTCTGTTTTCTCATCTGTGAGAATGACAATCTTCATTCGGACTTATGTGAGGAGTAGAAATTAAGTCTGCAAAGCACCTGACACACCACATAGTAGATGCACAAGAAATAGAAGTGATTTCATTCTCTGGATTACGGGAAAAGAGAGCTAATATTAATTGACTGCCTGCTATGTACCCATCAATGTTCAATGCATTATTTTATTTAATCCTCACATTTGCCTCAAGAAGTAGATGCTGCTCTCTCAGTTTAGACAGGGACAAATTGAGGTTCAGAAAAATAAAGTCAATTACCTGAAATCACACAGTGGGGAACTAAGATTCAAAAGTGAATTGGTCTGGCTTGTGAGGCCAAGGTCCTTCTATCCCACCTCATGGCTGAATGGCTCAGGGATCAAGGCAGGAATGAATCTAAAGGTGATGGATCTATGGATGACAATGGTTGGTAAACTAATATTTATTTAAGTCTCTTCTATGATCCTTGTCTGGCCTGGGTGATGAGAAAACAACAAAGAGCACTAGATACATTTCCTACCCTCGTGAAGATGAGTGTTTAGAAACAAAATCAGATTAAATAATTAAGAATATGACTTACATAATGACAGATATGCAAAACACAGCAGAGGAGAAGTTCTTATAATTTAGGAGAGAATGACAGGGCTCCAGAGTAGCTAACAGAATATTGAGGAAAAAATCCAGGGATGAAGAATTGAGCAGTCAATAACAAATGAGGAACCTTCATAAAGTTCCTCCTTTGGGAAGCCAGGAGGGAAAGATACTAATTATTGGATC